GCAATATTCCAGTATTTGGGGGGCTGCCACAAAGAAGAGGGGGTTCAACCTATCCTCCAAAGCACTTGAGGACAAGACAAGGAGCAACGGATGGAAACTCATCAAGGGGAGAAGCAACCTGGAACTAAGGAGAAACTTCCTAACAGTGAGAACAATCAACCAGTGGAACAGCTTGCCACCAGAAATCGTGGGCGCTCCATCACTGGAGGTTTTCAAGAAGAGATTAGACAACAATTTGTCTGAAATGATATAGGGTCTCCTGCTTGAGCAGGGGGCTGGACTAGAAGACCTCCAAGGTCCCTTCCAGCTTTATTCCGATTGATCTCCCCTATTTTCCCATTGCACTGGAGAACATCGATGCTCACATCAAAGTAAACGTTGTTTGGATCAACAACTTAAGATATGCTGACGATACAGTTCTGCTTGCCAGTAAGCATGAAGACCTTCAGCTCCTCATCAACAGAGTCACAGAAATATCTGAAAAATACGGCTTGAAGCTTAACACCTCAAAAACCAAGATCCTGGTTGTCAGCAAATAACCCGTTAATTTACCACCAATAAATTCAGAAGGAATACCACTCGAAAAAGTTGAAAGGATCACACACCTCGGTTCTAATCTACACGAAAGCTGGGACATGACTGCTGAAGTAAAGACTAGGATACAGAAAGCTCGAACAGCATTCTTCAAAATGAAAAAAGGTCTTCTGCAGTCATGACATCAGCCTAAGACTGGGGCTTGTGAGATGCTATATTTTTTCTATCCTGCTCTATGGAGTAGAGCAGTGTTTCTCAACCTTGACCATTTTAAGGCATGTGGACTTCAACTCCCAGAATTCCACAGCCAGCAATGCTGGCTGTGGAATTATGGGAGTTGAAGTCCACATGCCTTAAAATGGTCAAGGTTGAGAAACACTGGAGCAGAGAGCTGGTCTCTGACACAAGGCCACCTGAAGAGACTGGAAGCCTTTGAAATGTGGATTGACAGGCAGCTGTTAACGTAGAAGTTGGACTGACAAGATCAGAAATGAGGAGGGGATAAGCCGCCTGGGAAAGCCCAGGGAAATCATCAAAACAATTAAAAAACAAAAGTTAGAATATTTCGGACACATGATGCGACACGCAGAAAAATACGGCATGCTTCATTTAATCCTCCAGGGAAAGACTGAAGGCCAACAAGGTCCAGGCAGAAGAAGAACATCGTGGCTTCAAAATCTCAGGGACGGGTTCGGACAAAACTCAGCAGCACTTTTTCGTGCAGCTGCTGATAAAAACAGGATCGCCAACATCTGATAACGGATAGGGCACAAGAAGATTATTTTCCCACTCTTTTCTTTATATTTCTATATTTTATATTTTGATAAATGGATAAACCATCACAACAAAAGATAACAAAACAGCAAAAAGGAAAACGAAGAGAAAGATCACTGGGGAGGATCGGCTCCTTGGGATCCCTTGATCCCAGATCTCTCAGAGATTCGGAGGCGATGGGAAGGCCTTGGAAAAGACCCCCAGGTGGGTCTCAACTCATCCCTCCCACCAAGTAGGCTTCACGGAAGGTTTGACCACGGATGAGTTCAGAAGGACCCCAATGCAGGGCAATGTTGCAAAATCCCAGCTAGGGCAATAGGGGGTGCCCCCCTTCTCCTCCTCCCCCCACATGCCCTGCACCTACAACACATCAACAGGACCTCCAAGGGTCTTCCCTGACCCTTATTCTGCAGGACCCCCAAGCCAAAGACCACCAGATCCCCATTTCAGATGGGTCCACCTTAACCCATGGTCTCCATCCAACCCAAGACCTTTCTGATGACACCTACCCCCTCCTCTAACCAAAGCTGTCCCCCCTTAAGGCACGGCTGGAGAAGAAAGAGCAACCCACCAAGGGATGCTTGTCCATCCATGACCCCCCCCCACCAAGGAATCCCACCAGCCTGCACCTGGCAAGGTTTAACCTGGGTCCTCCAGCCTCTGAACTTTCAAAGGAAGCTCTGACAGCCCAGATGTTGAAATACGCCCACGAATGCCGCAACTGCAAGTCTCTCAAAAGCCAGAACTGGAGCATGTTGCAAAGGCCAGGTTTGTGTTACAGACCAAACTAGGCTAAAAGGGATAGTCCTGGCCTGGTTGTGTGGTGGAAATCCCACTTTTGGTTGACTAGAGTAGGTGGCCCAAGGCAGGCCGTCATGTTAAGGGCCGTCCATCTAGGTGGGCCTTGAATAACACGAGGACCAAGCCTTTGCTTTGGTTAACCTAGTTTTTTGGGTGAGATGTGTCACGTGGACACAGCCATCGTTCCACAAAGGTGTAGTATTACAGTAGGAAATTGCTCAATGCAGGTAAGTCTCTGACTTACAATCACAACTGAACCCCAAAATTCTGTTCTTAAGTGAGACATTTCTTAGGGGAGTCGTGCCCCATTTTATGACCTATTATGCCACAATCCTCCTTCGGTTCTGTATTCAAGATGGACGGTGATTAATATGTATATGTTACTTACATGTAAGGGTGTAGGTCTGTAAATATGTTGTATATAGTATGTTTAAATGTGTGTTATGCATGTGTATATTTTGAGAGCAAGCAACTAAATTTCATTTTTAAGGTGTGCCGTTGTGCCCACAGTACAAAAAAAAATGACAATAAAGGTTATCTAAAACCTTGTTAAGTGAATCACTGCACCTGCTAAGTTAGTAACCCAGTAATATTAATAATAATAATAATAATAATAATAATAATAATAATAATAATAATAATAGAAAGAAAGAAAGAAACAAACAAACTTGGAAGGGACCTTGGAGGTCATCTGAGCATGGGGTTGGAGTAGATGACCTCCAATGTCCCTTCCAACATCATCATCATCATTATTATTATCATCGTTATCATTATCATCATCATTATTATCATTATCATCATCCTTATCATTATTATGGATCATCGCACAGTCAGCCAGATGTTCAGACTGGATTTGGCATTTTGTCTACCTATCGAGTCCTTACCCAGGACCTGGGATAGGCAGATGTGGATGTTTGATGGTATTACAGGTATCGTTGCAGGATGGAAGCAGTTCCTAGTAAGGCCGCCTTTTGCAATTGACTAATAGCGAATTTGTCAATGCCGATGATGATGTTCAAGTGGTGCTCCAGTATCATCATCATCATCATCATCATCATCATCATCATCATCATCTAGTCCAACCCCTGCTCAAGCAGGAAACCCTATACCATTTCGGACAAATGGCTGTCCAGTCTCTTCTTAAAAACCTCCAGTGTTGGAGCATTCACCGCTTCTGGAGGCAGGTGGTTCCACTGGTTAATTGTTCTCACTGTCAGGAAATTTCTCTTTATTTCTAGGTTGCTTCTCTCCTTGGTTAGTTAAGTGACTCACTTTTCCCCACTGACTTTGGGTATCAGAAAGTCACAAAAGCGGATCCTGTGACCCCGGGGGGGGGGAGGGACACAGCAACGGTCATAAATACGAGTCAGTTGCCAAGCGTCTGAATTTTGATCACGTGACCTGGGGGATGCTCCAAAGGTCGTAAGTGTGAGAAATGGTCATAAGTCACTTTTTAAAGTGCCGTTGTAACTTGGAACGGTCACTAAATGAACTGTTGTATGTGGGGGACAATTTGTATTCAGAATTCTGCTCCTCAGTTGCCATTTGAGACAGAATCCTTTCTCCCTTCAACTAATCAGATTCTACTTCAGGTGTCTTCAAACTTGGCCCTTTTGTGACTCGTGGACTTCAACTCCCAGAATTCCTCATGCCTGGCTGAGGAATTCTGGGAGTTGAAGTCCACGAGTCACAAAAAGGCCAAGTTTGAAGACCCCTGTTCTAATTCAACTTTCTCCCAGCAAGTGTTTGTACATACACAAACACACCCTCCAACACACAAACACACCATATTTTCTCTCTTTGGCGAAACGCTATGGGCATTCCTCGGCCTACAACCGCAACGGAGCCCAAAATTTCCATCGCTAAGCGAGACAGCAGTCGAGTGAGTTTTGCCCCACTTTATGACTTTGCTGGCTGCAGTTGTTAAGTGAATCACTGCAGGGGTTATGCGAGTCACCCAATTGTAGAGGTGAACCTGGCTTTGCCGTTGACTTTGCGTGTCAGAAGGTTGCAAAAGGGGAATAGCTTGACCCCAGGGCACGGCGACCGTCATAAAGGTGAGTCACAATTAACCAGTGGAACCACCTGCCTCCAGAAGTGGTGAATGCTTCAACACTGGAAGTTTTTAAGAAGAGACTGGACAGCCATTTGTCCGGAATGGTATAAGGTTTCCTGCCTGAGCAGGGGGTTGGACTAGATGGCCTCTAAGGTCCCGTCCAACATTATTATCATTATCATTATCATTATCATTATTTGCCAAATGTTTGAGTTTTGAGCATGCAATGATGGGGGAAAGGTCATAACTGTGAAAAACAGTCCCGACTTGTAACTTTGAACGGTCACTAAACAAAACGGTCATTAAGTAGGGGACTGCCTGTATTGGAAGTAGCCTTCTATGTAAAAGGTCAATTTACGGGTTTCACTCCGGCTGCCCAAACGGTAGGTTTTTTTCCTCTTGTATATGAATAAACAAACCTTCATCGGCAAAGTCGGCCAGAATCCCATCCTGGTTTTTGGGGTGCCAGGAAAACCCAGAAGGCCAACACCCCCCTCCCGCCCCCCAGCACAGATGCAGCCTTGCAGCCGTCCTCTTCCGGCCGTGGCTGACCAAAAATACTTAGGAAGGACATCCCTGGTGTCTGGCAGCCCCAAATCCTCAGAGCCCATCATACAGCCCCGAAGGGGGTGGGACAGGGGGTTTGACCAGACCCCCTTCCCAGCCTGCTCCCCACAAACTCTGGAGCTGGCCAGTCCCCAACCCAGCCCTGCCTTTGCACCCCCAAACCTGCTCAGTCTGAAAATTGGCCAGCAAGGCAGCTTGGGGACCCCCCTGCCCCCCCAAAAGGGGAGGGGGGGCATGGGCAGGCGGGGGGGGGGAGTAGGGGGCTTACCTTGATCTTGTGCAGCGACTTCTCCGCCTCCAGCATCTGAATCCAGACGGCGATCCCGGAGCGGTGGTAGGTGAGGTGCCAGCCGGCTTCCGAGTTGCATTCCGTGCGGAATTGGTCGAAGTCGCGGTCGTCCGGGATCTGCACGCTGTCCCGGCTGGACATGGCGCTCCCTCCGCCCGCCGGAGTCCCCCGCCGGAGACCCCCGGGCTGGGGAAGCCGAGGAGGAGGAGGAGGAGGAGGAAGAGGAGGGGGCAGGCGGGCTGGGAGAGCCAGACGGCCCGGGATGCGTGTCTGGACGCACGTCTGGGCGCCTCCTGCGCTCTCTCGCCGAGTCGGGGCGGACTGGCGTGGCGTTGGCGGGCGGCCAAGCGGACAGGTGAGTCACGGCTCAGGTGAGTCGCCGCGGGCCCTCCTCTTGCTCCTCCTTCTCTTCTTCCTCCTCCTCCTTCTCCTTCCTCCTCCTCCTCCCTCCTCCCCTTCACTTCTCCTTCCTCCTCCTCCTCGCTCCTCCCCCTACTTCTCTTCTTCCTCCCCCTCCTCTCTTCTCCTCTTCCTCCTCCTTCCCTTCCCTCCTCTTCTTCCTCCCTCTCTTTTTCCTTCCCTCCTTCCTCCTCTTCCTCCGGCTTCTCCCCGGACAGGGCTGCGCCCTCCGCGCCTCTCCGGGCTCGGCAGCCGGGCTGGGCTGGGCCGGGCGGAGGCGGCCCGGGAGCAGCTGCAGAGCGGCGGCCGGGGAAGCTGGCCTCTGCCGGGATGCGGCGCGGGAGCAGCGGCAAGCCGGCGCCCCCCCCCCCGGCCCGGCCTCCCCAGGCGCCGCCGGTGTCTGCTGGGTCCTACCGTCGCTCTCCGGGGCGGCCGCTTCCCCAAGCAGGCGGCCCGCGGGCTCCGGACCCCTGGGAGGCCCTCCCGCCCGGCAGACACGCAACCCGTTGCGTTCACACGTTCGGCGGGGAACGGGTCGGCAGGCTTGCAGCGTGGCGGGCGGACCCCTCGCTCATGCTCCACAGCGGAGGCAGGAGGGGAGCGCGGCCACCCGGACTTCCCCCCCCCCAGCGGAGAGGGCACCAGCCGGGTCTAGCCATAACCCAGTGGGTTGGTCGGAAACCGAGTTACAGGAAGTTCTCGATTTACAACAGTTCACCTAGTGACGGTGTGAAGTGACCAGGGCACTGAAAAAGCGACTTATGGCGGGTTGTCACCCTTCCCACCGTTGCAGCATTCCCCCTGGTCACTTGATCCAACTTGGCAACCGACTCACATTTATGACGGTCGCAATGTGTCCCGGGGTTACGTGATCCCCTTTTGCGACCATCTGACAAGCAAAGTCAATGAGGGAAGCCGGATTCACTTAACCGTGTGAATCACTTAACGACTGCGGTGATTCACTTAACAACCGAGGTAAGGAAGGGGGTAAAATGGGCAAATTTCATTTAACAACTGTCTTAGCCACAGACAGTTTTGGGCTCCATGGTGGTCGTAAGTAGAGGACTCCCTGTATTTTGCTGCTTCCTGGGGGTTCAGCGCCAGCTGCCCAGAAATTGACCCTCTTGCTCCATTTGTTTATTTGTAATCAATGCACAGGCTCCCTCTGAGTTTGATTGGTTTAGTGGTAAATGTACATCTGCCTCTCTTCTGGCAAGCAAATGGTTAACAGCAGGACAAACTTCTGTCAAATAGTCCAGGGAATCTTCCAACTTGGCCCTTTGATGACTCGTGGACTTCAACTCCCAGAATTCCTCAGCCAGCGTGCCTAGCTGAGGAATTCTGGGAGTTGAAGACCAGGGGTCTTCAAACTTGGCCCTTTTATGACTTGTGGACTTCAACTCCCAGAATTCCTCAGCCAGGCACATGCCAAGGCTGCATGTCTTAAAGTAGCCAAGGTTGGAGACCCTTGTCCTAAAGCAGGAGTCTTCAAACGCTGGCTGAGGAATTCTGGGAGTTGAAGGCCACAAGTCATAAAAGGGCCAAGTTTGAAGACCCCTGAGTAAAAGGCTCCTTTTGTATTTTGCACAGATTATGTTTGTTTTTAATGGTCTGTTGTGCTTTTCTATTGATTTTCCATGCTTTGGGACCCAACTTTATTACTACTACTACTACTACTACTACTACTACTACTACTACTACTACTATTATTATTATTATTATTATTATTATTATTATTATTATTATTATTTATTAAAACTCTGCAGCTCAGGGTTGAACTGTGTAGGCTCTGATGCTCTCTGAGCTTGATTGGTTTTTGAAGAAATCTCATTACTAGCGCCTAGTAGGTAACATCATCAGTGCTAGGGGTTTGGAAGGAGGAGGGGGAGGAGGAGGAAGAAAGAAGAAGAAGAAGAGGAGGAGGAAAGAAGGAGGAGAAGAAGAAGAAGAAGAAGAAGAAGAGGAGGAGGAGGAGGAGGAGGAGGAGAAGGAGGAGGAGGAAGAAGAATAGAAGAAGAAGAAGAGGAGGAGGAGAAGGAGGAGGAGGAGGAGAAGAAGAAGAAGAGGAGGAGGAGGAGGGGAGGGGGAGCAGGAGGGGGAGCAGGAGGACTGTGGGCTCCTTGGTGCTCTCTGAGCTTTTCTTGCAGACGTTTCATTACCAAACTAGGTTATATCATCCATTCTAGAAGGGAGAGGTGTTTTGCAGAGAGGAGGAGGACTAGAGGTCCGTGATGTTCTGTGATTGTTTCCTTGCAGACATTTCATGACCCAACTAGGTAACATCACCAGTGCTGTACGAGACCCGTGTCCAAAGTGGGCGCACTTCCTTGATCTCTCCCTGGGACGAGCCCGAAAGCTCCGAAACCCCCAGGAGCCAAACCCAGGCACCAATTCAGACGGCCCATTGCCCCTTTTTAGCAGAAACAGGAAAAGGCGTTTCATAAGAAGGCAAGCAAGTATAAAGAAAGCTGTGGGAGGAGGGAAGCGCCCTGGGAGCAGGGCCGGATGGGGGGGGGGCTGGTCCTATCTGAAGAAAACTCCCCCTGGAATTCATGGGCAGCCGCCCCCCCCCAGCCCCTGCAGCCCAGCAGAGCAAATGCCACAGTACATCCATGGCCCTGGAGGCGGCTTTTTCTGGTCCTACCCAGAAGCCCGGCCATTCCGGTCGGTGGAATGTTTGCCCAGGGCAGGGCTAGGCAACCTGGGCTCTTTTATGACTGGTGGACTTCAACTCCCAGAATTCCTGAGCCAGCATGGGGGAACTATGGCCCCTTCATGACTCGTGTGACTTCAACTCCCAGAATTCCTGAGCCAGCATGGGGGGAACTATGGCCCCTCATGACTCGTGGACTTCAACTCCAGAATTCCTCTGAGCCAGAATGGGGGAACTATGGCCCCCTCATGACTCGTGGACTTCAACTCCCAGAATTCCTGAGCCAGCATGGGGGAACTATGGCCCCTTCATGACTCTCACTCCCAGAATTCTCATGGGGGAACTATGGCCCCTTCATGACTCGTGGACTTCCCAGAATTCCTCAGCCAGCATGGGGGAACTATGGCCCCTTCATGACTCGTGGACTTCAACTCCCAGAATTCCTGAGCCAGCATGGGGGAACTACGGCCCCTTCATGACTCCTGGACTTCAACTCCCAGAATTCCTGAGCCAGCATGGGGGAACTATGGCCCCTTCATGACTGGTGGACTTCAACTCCCAGAATCCCTGAGCCAGCCTGGCTCAGCTTGGAAACCTCTCCCTTTCCCCTCAGCATGGCTGGCTCAGGAAGTCTGGGAGTTGGAGTCCACGAGTCATAAAAGAGCCAAGGTTGCCTAGCCCTGGCCCAGGGTAAATAACACTTGCTCCCGGCTGGGCAGAAAAGAGGAAGAAGGAGCAGCCAGGCAGGAGAGGCCACAAAACCCCCATCGCCACCACATGCGAGGCAGGAGGGGCGTTTCCTTCCTCCTCTGTGCAAAATGCTGAGGGAGATTTGAGCCCTGCTTTGCACCAGGCGCCTTACAGAGATCAAGGAGGAAAGGGACGGAGCCCAGAGCCGGCAGATCAAATATATACGCTGCCCGTCTTTGGGCCAATCACAAGGAGACAATGAGTTCTAGTGTTGCCTTAGATATGAAAGCCTGTTGGGTGACTTTGGGCCAATCACCAGGAGACAGGGAGTTCTAGTCCCGCCTTAGGCTTGAAATCCAGCTGGGAGACTTTGGGCCAATCACCAGGAGACGGGGAGTTCTAGTCCCGCCTTAGGCATGAAAGCCTGTTGGGTGACTGAGCATGTCCACGGTCATGTGATCAATATCCAGACACTTGGCAACTGGCATGTACTTATGACGGTTGCAGTGTCCCAGGGTGGGGGTCACATGATCCCCTTTTGCGACCTTCTGACAAGCAAAGTCAATGGGGAAACCTGGATTCACTTAACGCTGTTGCTAACTTAACTGTGGCAAGAAAGGTCGTAAAATGGGGCAGAACTCCCTTAACAACTATCTCGCTTAGCAATCTAGTGCTCAATTGTGGTCGCACGTTGAGGACTACCTGTATGTTTTTATACTGTTGTAGCACCCCGCCCCCAGAGTAACTCAGTAACTCATTTGTATGGGTGACATACAAATTTAATATATAAATGATGGGCTGGGCGCAGGGGGAGGCAACCTCAGCCCCCTCATGACTTGTGGACTTCAACTCCCAGAATTCCTGAGCTAGCATGGGGGAACTATGGCCCCCTTCATGACTCGTGGACTTCAACTCCCAGAATTCCTTAGCCAGCATGAGGAAATTATGGCTCCCTCATGACTCGTGGACCAACTCCCAGAATTCCTGAGCCAGCATGGGGGAACTACGGCCCCTTCATGACTCCTGGACTTCAACTCCCAGAATTCCTCAGGCAGCATGGGGGAACTATGGTCCCTTCATGACCCGTGGACTTCAACTCCCAGAATTCCTCAGCCAGCATGGGGGAACTATGGCCCCCTTCATGACTCGTGGACTTCAACTCCCAGAATTCCTGAGCCAGCATGGGGGAACTATGGCCCCTTCATGACTCGTGGACTTCAACTCCCAGAATTCCTGAGCCAGCCTGGCTCAGCTTGGAAACCTCCCTTTTCCCTCAGCACGGCTGGCTCAGGAATTCTGGGAGTTGAAGTCCACAAATCATAAAAGAGCCGAGGTTGCCTACCTCTGGGAATTCTGGGTGTTGAAGTCCACACCTCTGAAGGTTGCAGAGGTTGAGAAATGCCAACCCAGAGACTAGAACTATAATATATTTAGGAGAGCCAAGAAGCTGGCACCATCCTGGGGTTCAATCCCCCCCCCAAATCCTGAGGGTGGTTAACCCCTTCCTCCCCGTGCACAGTCCTCTCCAGGAAGGGCCCCAAAGGATGCTGTGATTCGCAAGCAGCGTTCATGTCATTCCTGCAGGGAGGTCCTCTGCACCTGGGGCTGTGGCACATGGATGTTGCGACTCCCTTACCCCCCCCCCACATACAAAGGCCCCACACCCGGGAAGACTGGAGAGAGGCAGGATTAACGCCTTGTCCCAGTTCAGGCTGCAGATCAATCCTTTGCAAAGCCTA